ATGAGATTTCTGTGGAAATCAAAATTAATCTTACATTTCACAATTATAAAAAATATGTAAACGGAATTGTTTCCATTTTTCTCTCCAAATATTTCAGACCCCTGAGGAACAACTAGTGATTCACAGATTGTAATTTGAAAAATAGTGGCTAATACTCATTACTGTTTCCTAGTTTAAATTTTTGTCTAATATTATAAATGTATATATATTTTGTGTGTGTGTGTATATATATATATAAACTCTAGTATTACAGAGACATTTAGTAATATTTTCATTAAGGATTTGCTCATTTTCATATCTCTCACTTTATCCTGTGTCATTAGTTATCCCACTGTCCTGGATCATTCCTATCAAGTACAAACCTGATATAGAAGCTACCATATTAAAAAAAAATAGTATTATCCCTACATTCTTTTCTAACTATTGTTTCATTTCATTCTGGCCTTTATAGCACAATTTTTCAAAACAGTTTTCTTTAGTCACTGTCTCTACTTCTTTACCTTCCTAAATTCATCTTAACTTTCTGTTAAAACTGGATAAATACTTATAAATGTGAACAGAATATAGAGACTAAAGAAACAAACACCATCTACCGACCATTATCATTAACTCTGAACATTACCGTTAACATTCCCTGTATGCCACTCCTGGAACCACTTCTCTTCTTTTCTCCTTTAGAGATAATCACCATCCTGACTCCCTTTATAGTTTCCCATATATTTATATTACTAAAAAGTATATCTCGGCTAGGTGCGGTGGCTCACACCTGTAATCCTAGCACTCTGGGAGGCCGAGGTGGGAGCATTGCTTGAGCTCAGGAGTTCGAGACCAGCCTGAGCAAGAGTAAGACCCTGTCTCTACTAAAAATAGAAAAAAAATTATCCAGTCAACTAAAAACAGAAACAAAAAATTAGACGGGCGTGGTGGCCTGCACCTGTAGTCCCAGCTACTTGGGAGGCTTAGGCAGGAGGATCACTTGATCCCAGGAGTTTGAGGTTGCTGTGAGCTAGGCTAACGCCACGGCACTCACTCTAGCCCAGGCAGCAAAGAGAGACTCTGTCTCAAAAAAAAAAAAAAAAAAAGGATATCTCAATATATATTTCCTTATACATGAATGAAATTATACTTTATGTATCCCTCTGACTTGATTTTCTTCAACAGTATATTTCTGGGGTTCATCTATATAGTATGTAGTAGTACTTCATTTTCACTGCTGAATTCCATTGTGTGAATAAGCCCCAAATTTTCCATTTTATTGTTGATGGATATTTGGATTGTATGTAGAATTTTGCTACTCCAAACTGCACAGCTATGTGCATCCTTATTCTTGTGTCTTGGTGTTAACCTGTAGCAAAGGATCAAGCTTTCGGGGTTTTTCCCCAATCTCTTGTGGATTGATGCTTTTGTAAAATACACTAAAAATGTTTCACTGATGTCAAATTGCTATAAAAATTTCTAAATCTTTACTCTTAATTTTTGTATTTATCTTGTTATGGGCCATACTTTGAATAACACTGATGCTCTAAGATGTATACCTAGCTGTGGAATTCCTGGGTCATTCGTCTTCTACTATTTATGCAGAAATTTTTTTTCTCAAAATTACTAATATTCTAGTTGTTCAAATTACACAAAAGGCAGTCTGCCAGCTTTTTTTTAAATTCCTAATATGGAGGGGATTTCAGACTAAGACCTACTGTTTTTGGTAATGTAATTTTGATCCTAGAGAAAAGTGGCTGCGAATAATGGTGAGCTGCTGCTGAAGAGTTGATTCAAAGCCAACCTAGCAAACAATGATAGTGGGATAAAGGACCAGGAGGAGTGAATTTATTGAGGGAGATGGTCTGCAATACAAAATGCTACAGTAGAGATATCTAAAAATGGAAAGCACAGAGAAAAAAGCATTCTTGTACATAGTAAGGTTTTTAAAGACTTATAAGGGTACATTTAAAATAGGGTGTACATTCTCTCTCATATTTAGCTGCAGCTGCTGAGTAGGTAGCCTTAGAATTGTCTGAATGTATTAGGGAACTTTCTCAGAATGTAAGCTAACATGGGATTGCTCTTATAAGCAAGCAGCAGGATACTTTATATCAACTTTATTTTCATTATAACTCTACCTGGGAACCTTTTTAAACATTTTCTCCCTAATCATCCCTACCCCTTCATGAAATTTTAATATCACAGATGTACAGTGTATCTGTTTATATACTGTAGCTTTTGGAGGGCCCCAACCGTTTAAATTTAATATTTTTTCTTTTTCTTTTTTTGCCTGCAAGAACTAATTATCATCTGCTTGGGAGTGATAGCACCCCTACTGAGAGTACATGAGATGAATAAAAATATGGCCCTAGCAGTAGAATACAAATATTTTAAAAGGTAATATTTTATTTGATCATGTGGGTCGATGAAGTGAGGAGAAAGGAAGAGTACTCAGTTTTAAGAAACCATCCTAATGAAAGTATGCTCGAGTTAGTGAAAAATCAGCTTATACTTAGAGCAGTAAATTAGGGACATGAGGTATATAGGCATCTGTCTCTGTTTGATGGTATCCTTATGGAAGAAATACAGAAGTATGGATCAAATGTTAGTACAGTTAGGCAAGTCTGTAGAATCAGTATGCAAATTAGTGAATTGGTGCCTGTCTCATAGGTGATTTTCAATGACATGTCATATGGCTCTGTATTCACTCCTGTCTATTCTAGACATTTATTAGCGAATTTAAGAAAACGTCAGATTTACAGATGTCATGATGATGGGAGGAATGGTGAATAGGCTGGTTGACACCCTTAATCTCCAAAGAAACTAACAGGCTAAAATAAGGACAGAACTGAAGTATTACCGTTGGGTCTAAAAAGCCAATTGTCTAAAAAGAATAGCATGGAGAAAATGGATCATAGCAATATCAAGTATAAAAGAAACTTTGGGATTTTAGGTTATGTTAATCTTAATGAGCATTTTTAGGAAATTATTAACATCTTAAGCTGCATTAATTAGTGTCTAAAATCTATTTTGTATGCTGGTTAAATCACAGCTTGAAATAATTATATGAGGACCACGTTTAGGGCTATATGAAGTATAGTATAGTATAGTATGTATAAATTTAATAAGTCTATTATGTATATGATATACTTTACATGTAGCTATACCAGAGCCATTTTGTGGGCACTGGTCCATGAATTTTCTAAGTGGCTGTATAATAGTATGTCTGGATTTTGTTTGGGAAGGAATAGATTTCGCTGGGAAGAAAAAGATTACCTTCTGCAAAGGTGTTGACAAAGAGATAGTGTTAATGACAATTTACAATTTTTTGAGTGATTAAAAGTGTGAGTGTATTTTCTAAAATAGGGGTCAGCAAACTATAACTCACTGACCAAGTCCTACCAGCAGCCTGTTTTCTTTTTTTTGGTTGTTTTAATGTATTGTTTTTATTTGTATGATTTATTATCGTTGTATTGTTATTTTTTTTTATTTCAGCATATTACATGGGTACAAATGTTTAGGTTACGTATATTGCCCTTGCCCCACCCGAGTCAGAGCTTCAAGCGTATCTGCATCCCCCAGACGGTGCGCACCACACCCATTACGTGTGTATACACCCGTCCCCACCACCCCCTCTGATCTGCCCAGCACCTGATGAGTGGTTATTACTATATGTGCACTTAAATGTTGATCAGTTAATACCAATTTGATGGTGAGTACATGTGGTGCTTGTTTTTCCATTCTTGGATTACACTTAGTAGAATGGGTTCCAGCTCTATCCAGGATAATACACGAGGTGCTGTATCACCATTGTTTTTTGTGGAGCATCCTGTTTTTGTATGAACTTTGAGCTAAGAATGTTTTTGCATTTTAAAGGGCTGTAAAACAAAAACAAAAAGCAAAGGATTTGCCATAGATATCTTATGTCTCTATGTATCTTGCAAAGCCTAAAATACTCTGTTCCTTTACAGAAAAAGTTTGCTAACTCCTGATAAAATAATTGGACCAGCGATAGAATAAATAACATTTTAAGATCTTTTGCAACCAGAAGACTTAAGACCAGCACCAAGTCTGGTCTTAAGACTTAAGGAACAGCACAAATAGTTCAGTATATAGAAATTATATGATTATATTACAAATTACCTGTACAAATTAGCTTATATTCAAGACAAGCGTTCAGAGCTATGTAGAAAAGAGCAGTTATTATCAATTAAGTAAAAGGTGGAGACCTATTGGTTAACTCAGTAAACGTCAAAGAAATTTAAAAGTAGCGATAGATGGCAGTTAAAATTTGCTAATTAAAGTTAATTCTTAAAGGATTAATAGGGAGGAAAAAAAAGTTAATTTTATCTCTTTGAGCATAGTGACGACTATTAATATGTTGGATAGGGAAGCAACCTAAAAGCCTGCTAGGAAGAAGGGCAGGCAAAAACTAGTCTGGGACTAAGAAGTTAGCATTGATAGCCTATAAAGGAGACCAACAGGAAAACAATCACTAATTATCTGCATATTTAAAGGGATATGTGCTGCTTTTTATAAATTTACTCCTTTATATTTAATCTAATCCCGAGGACAGCATGCTTTTTAAAATGATTTTAACAGAAGTGCCTTATTGGTAAGGAAATAGCACCACCCATTGACACTGGTTTTAAGATGATTATGAACCTTTGGAAATGGTAGGGAGGGGGAGAGTATCTGAGGATACATATTTTTTCTTGTATTTTTAGTGATTTGATGTGATTTGGGATTTATATGTTCCTTTTTACGGTAATAAATAAATACTTGAAGGTCAATATAGCTTGTTTTAGTAACTTTATTATGGTAATTCTTTATTCTTTTGATTTCTCAATTACAGATGATATTAATGAAATATTCTGTCTAGAGATCATTTTTATTCTTACCATACCAATCCTCTTTCAAATTTGATTCTATTTTAGGTAATTATAATTGAAGATGCTACATTTTATCTTTACATATATGTTTATTTCTGGTTTGTAACCAAGTGAATTTTTTTTTTCCAGATGATTCTTTGGGATTGGGACTTAAAGCAGTGGTATAAGCCTCATTTTCAGGTAAATATAAGTGATATCACTAATAACTAATATCTTTAATGAAACTTTTGACATTTCAATTTAAGTTACATTTACAAGCTTTCTGTGCCGTAAGATTTTCTTTAACTTTTCTTTAAGTTGGCTTGAACTTTTGTTGAGGTAGATTAAAAAAATAAATAAATTTAATTGTAAGGGAAAAAGAAAAGATGAGAAATCAAACTTACATAAATCATTACTTTTATAATATTACTAATATAATTTGCACTGAGTAAACTAATATTTCTATATTAAGGATTAGATTTTTTTTCTTTTCCGATGTAGACCACTGATCCTACAGAGGGGAAAAGGTAGATTGAAGGCCATACATGAGACGAAGGAAAGTAATTGGCAAGATATTTTATTAGGGAAGTTAAAGCACCCAACTTTCATTTTTTGGTAAACTTTTTTATTGAATTATAACATACATACACAAAAGTATGCAACTCAGTAAATTTTTAGAAGCTAAATATCCCATGTAACTAGTACCCATATGAAGAAATAGAATATATTACCAGAATCTCAGAAGGCTCTTTTATGCCCCGTTTCAGTCATTACCTATACTCCCAAAGATAATCCCTATCCTGACTTCTAGTGACTAGTTATGCTTATTTTCGAACATTGTATATATAAATGAAATAATATAATATGTATTTTTTTCAGATTAATGTTTTTGACTACTTATGTTTATATCAGATAAAATGGAATAGAAGTATAGGAGAAAAAAGAAAAATCACTCATAAACATCAAGCAATAACTATGTTAACTGGATTAACTTTTGGGGTTATATCTTTGTTGATCTTTTCCCATTACAAATGTGTATTTGTATACTCTAGTCTATAAAAATTGTGTTATTATGTGTCATATCTGTTTTGAAACTTGATGTTTTGTCACAATAATGGACAAACACTAATAAATATTAACTCATTTATATTACAGAATTGTTAGCCCTGTTTATTATATTTATTTAGCTGGTTGCTCGACACCAATTTTTGAAATGACTATCCCTTTGAATAGCTGATTATTATTTTTAAACTGTGACTGAAATAGACATAAGAGCCCATAAGAATAAAATATTCTCTGGACTTTAGTGAGTAAAGTAATGTAATTATTGCAGTCAGATGAAATCAAGGAGAAGGCCACATCTGACCTAAAAGGAGGTCGTTCCTTGACTCACATAGTGGGCTTTATCATCATTCCTATTCACCAAGATCCTTAGCTTCCAATTAAAAGTGTCTAAATTACTGGTAAAATCTAAAGATAAATAGCAGTAAGCTAAGAGCATGGACTCGTAGTCAGACAGACTGGTGTAAGATATTAGGCACCTCTGTCTTTTGTTCTTCCTTTTCCCTCTTCCCCTTTCTAATAACCCTTTCTTAAAAATTGAAAGATAACATTCATATATAAAAGTGCACAACTCATAGGTGTACAACCTGATGAATTTTCTCAAATTGAATACACACATGTGACAATTTTCAGATAAAGAATTCAGCACCGCCAAAGCCCCTTTATCCTCCACTTCTAGACATCAACTTCTATCAAGCATTATCTCAGTGCTGATTTTTGCCATTACAACATAGTTTTTCCTGTCTGAATTTGATATAAATTAGATCAATCATATATATTTTGTTTTCCTTTCTTTCAAACTTTTATCTGTGAGATTAATATTATTGCATATAGCAGTGATCTGCTCATTTCATTCTGCTTAGTATTCCATTGAATGAATATAATACAATTTATTTATTCATTCTACAGTTGATGGACATTTTTTTCATTTTCGGTTTTTTGGCTATTGCAAGCAATGCTGCTAGAACAATCTTGATGCCTTTTGTTGGGTATATATCTTGAAGTGGATTGCTAGTGTATGCATGCATATGTTGACTTCAAATAGGTATCACAAGATGATTTTCCAAAGAGCCTATATTAATTTTTATACAACCATCAGGAGCGAATGAGAGTTCCAGTTGTTCCACATCTTTGCCAGTACTTGATAGTGTCTCTTTTAAGTCATTTCAGTAGCTGTGTAACAGTATCTTGTGGTTTGATACTGTGTGCATAACACAGTGCTCATGTGCTGCATAACAATGTTTTGGTTAATAATAGACCATATATGTGACACTGGTCCCATAAAATTATAATGGAGCAAATACAGAAATATGATATATGGCATTTGATATTAGCATTGCAGATCAAGGAGGGGAAATGATTGATATTTAGTAATGGCAATGGGACATTTGGTTTTCTGTATGAAAAAATAGAAATAAAAATATATATTTGTGTAAGCATACTTTATGAAGTTCACACAGTGATGGGCTTGCTAATGAGGCATTTCTCAGAATGTATCCCCATCAATGCATGATTGCATTTGCATTTCACTGATGAGGTGACTCATCAGGTTGAGGACCTTTTTATATGTTAACTGGCTACCCAGATATCCTCTGGTCAGGTCTTTTGTCCAGTTTTTTGTCTTTTACTTAGCAGTAAGTAGTTCTTTGTGTATTCTGGACATGAATATATATATTCATATACATAAATATGATATATGTATTATATATATCTAATATAGTGAGAAAAATATTCTCCAAATGGGTGGCTTATTATAGTATCTTTTGAGGAAAAAACTTCATATTTTAATGTAGTATCAATTTATCAATCATATCCTTTGATTAGTGATTTTTTGTGTCTTATTTAAGAACTTTGTCTACCTCCAAGATCATGAAGATTTTCTTCCATGTTAGCCCCTAGAAGTTTTATTATTTTACTTTCCATTTTTGGGTCTGTAATGCATCTGGAATTGATTGTTCTATATAGTGTGATATATAGCAGAAGACACATTTTTTTCCATATGTATATCCAACTGACCCAGTTCCAATTTCGAAAAAAATAAACATTCTTTCTTCTTTTTTCTATATTGTCACCTTTGTCATAAATCAAGTGACTATATGTATGTGGATTTGTTTCAGGACTTTCTGTTTTGATCCATTGGTTAGTTTGTCTATCCTTAAAGAATGATACCATATTTACAACTTCAATTATTGTGGCTTTATAATAATTCTTTATATTTGATAGTATAATAAATTCTCGAGCTTTGTTCTTCAAAGTTATGTTGACCATTCTTGGTTCTCTGTGTTTTAATATAAATTTAGAATCAACTTGACAATTTCCAAGTGCAAAAAAATCCTGCTAGGATTTAGATTGAGATTTTACTGACTCTGTATGTAGATCAGTATAGGGAGAATTTACATCTTTATGACACAGAAAATGTCAATCTATAAAAATGGTATATCTCTTCACTTATTTTAGTCATATTTAATTTATCGCAATAATGTTTTCAGTGTGGACGTCTTGCACACATATTTTGTTCGATTTACTCGTAGGTATTTAATTTTTAATATCACAAAGATATTATAAAAGGTATCAATTTTTTAAAATTTTATATTTTTAATAGTTTATACTAATTCACAGAAATTCAGTTGATTTTTATATATCCATCCTTGTATCCAGGGACCTTGCTGAATTTACTTATTAATTCTAATAGCTTCTTTGAAGATTCATTGAGTCTTTAAGTATACAATAATGCTATCTCTGAGTAAAGACAGATTGATTTTTTTTCCCAATCCTATGCTTTTCATTTCTTTTTCTCATGTTATTGTATAATAGCATTTGGACCTCCAATGCAATGTTGAATAGAAGTGGCACAAGTGGGCAGCCTTGTTTCGTTCTTGAATTCAGGGAGAAAATGTTCAACATAACACCAGTAATGTTTTCTGTAGATACCCTTTGTCAGATTAAGGAATTTTCATTCTAATTCTAGTTTACTAAGGACTTCTTCTCTCTTTTAAGTCATGAATGGGTGTAAAATTTTACCAGATGATTTTTCTACATCTGTTGAGATGATCCCTGAATTTTTTCCATTTATTCTATTAATGTGGTGAATTACATTGTTTATTTGTTAAACCATCTTTGCATCCCCAGAATAAAGTGAATTTGATCAAGACGTATTGTCTTTTTAAAAATATGTTACTGGATTCTATTTGTTAACATTTTGCTTAGGAGTTTTGAATCTGTGTTTATGAGAGAGTGTTGGCTTGTAATTCTTATTTTTCATAATGTTCTTGGCATATTTTGGTATCAAGATTACCAAAAACTTTGATACCAAAATAAAACAAGGTATAATATTAACCTCTCTTTTTATCTAGAAAAGTTTGTGTAAGATGGAAGATTGATATTTTTCCTCCTTTAATGCTTGAAAGAATGCTCTGGTGAAGCTCTGTCTCCTTGGAGTATTTTTTGTGGACAAGTTTTAAGTTATGGATTCAATTTCTTTCTCTTCTTATACCAATTGTGTTAGTTGTGTTTTTCTAGGAACTCTTTTTTTTTTTTTTTTTTTTGTTTAGTTCCTCCTAGCATTGTGAGATAGCTGAAAGCTCTGTTTTACTTTCAAAGTATTTAATAGAAATCTTTTTGAGGATTTTTATTTGGTTTCTCCTTCTCTTGGCTATTGTTTATAAATTGGCAAATGCCTTGAGAGTAAAAGCAACTCTGAATTTAAACTGGATTCTTTGTTCTTCTCATCGATCTGGGATCTTGCTGGGCCCTCCCTACCTTCATAGCCCTGAACTCCAATTTTGGTCTCCCAGCCCAGCCCCTTGAGACTACAGATCTGCACTCTGTTTCCTAGCCTCTTAACCACTTTCCTTCTCATCCTCTCTCCCTGAGCCAGTTATGAATCAGCAGCAAATTCTTTGAGGAAAAAGTAGCACAGAATGTTGGGTTCATTTTCTCTTAACTCTAGGCTTTTGTCCTTTTAAGCCTTGGCTGCTTGGTTGTGTGTTTTCTGATACCCTGAAATGTATGTTATTTGTATTTTATTTCAGCTTTTCTAGTTGTTCTAAGCATAAGAATTGGTCTGATACAAACTGATCCCTTTTAGCTGGAAAATTAGGCAAGCCTCTTAAGTGCCTCTGAACCTATTTGGGAATAATACCAATTCCC